AAGACCGAGCTTACCTCCTATGGCCCACTCCAATTGCCGAAAAACCGCCTCCATGACGAGGCGTCGCGCGAGCGCAGTGGAAAGGCTGAGCAACGGCACTTTGACCCCGCGATCGTCGATCAGCGTGGCGAAGTCCGGCATCTGCCAGCTGATCCGCTCCAGGCTTTTCCTCATAGCAGAAATCGGTCCTGAAACGCTCCTCCAGGATTTGGATTCCGAACTGAAAACCGACCCCCAGGCATCTCTCATCTCCGAAAAAAACACAAAAAGGAGGGGTGAGAGGCGAGGTGGGCGTGCCAGAGCTCCTTATGCCACCTGCAAGCCGGAGCAAACAGGGTCCTTCTCTGACAACAAAAGAATAGAGAGCGAGCGATCGCCCGCATTCGGCTTGAGAGTACTAGCGAAAGAACGTCGTAACGCCAAAAGTTCCGAGTCCGAGATCCCCTGGATATCCGCTCCGTAGGTGGAGGCGGGCAAAATCCCAGAGCACCAGACATTTCGAGCCTTGCGTCCAACCGTGCGAGCGGGTCTACCAACGCGCTTACTCTGACGGTCCGCCTTAATCCTACGAGCTTTAGCTCTAGTATTCCTACCCTGATGTCAAATCGGCCGGCCGACCGTATCGTCCACCCCAAGGTTCGGACCCGAAGACACCAAGGGCCCCGCCATGACCTCCCCCAGAGCAGCCTGAACTTTCAAACCTACACTCTTGTGGGAACTGATTAACGCCCCTTTGTCCTTGGCCAAAGTGGCGCCGATGCCGGCGGAGATCGCAGAGAACAGCTGCGAGCTAGCTGAGGAAAGACCAGCAAAAACCTCTGACTCAGATCCAATGGCATGCACAGCACTGTCATCAATGTAGAGCGCGTACGCGACGCACATCGGCCATTCTATCTGGTCAAGCGCCTCCAAATTGTTTACTCGGATCAGCGATGTCGCAAAAGAGCACCCTGCAACGATGCCGTGGATGGCATAGATGGCGGCGGTCATGAAGCCGCCCAGGACGATGTGCCTGGCGCAGCTGTACGCGGTAAAGCAAAAACGAGCCACCGCAACAGGAAAGCCGAGACGCACACACCTGCCGAGCATCCTACGGAGATCGATGCTCTCATAATATTTCTGGAAGTCCCAGAGAAGGGTCACCGCGACCTGCCCTGACGCCACTCCCCCTTCACTACGAGCCGCCTGTCGCCAAACAGTGTCGGCCGCCCCCATAAAACGACCCGCGGCGAACCAAGGCCTGTAGTTGGCCTCTTCCCAAGCCAAGGCCAGGGGCCTACGGATTTTAGCCCAGGCCCTATAGAGGCCGCCAAAAAGACCGATGGGACGGAGACCAGGAAACGCCTTGGGGATAAGATGCAGAATAACCACACGCATGTGGGATGGGAGCATAGACGATATCTCCATCATCTCCATCAGGAGGGCCATGCACTGCAAACTACCTTCAGATAGCCGCGAGAAATGACGAATATGGAATCCGTCAGTCGAGACCGCCGAAAAAATCTTGTGCTTCCCACAAACCTCCCTGATCGCGTCAGGGCTGATTGGGGGGAGGTCAGGGGCAGGTTCAAAGGAGGTGGGAGGGGGGGAGGCGACACTTCGGCCCTCCAGAGGGCCTTGAAACGAGCCTCTTCCTTATCCAACAAGTTTTGTGGGTCACTTACCACGCGATCTCCGTCGATGAGAGTCGTGGTGGGCACAAAAAAACTTGGGGTCCCGAGTGACCACATGGGCTCTCTTGGCCCCTTTGTTGAACCCTTCCAAGACCCACTGCTTCCAAGAGGCCTGAGAGGCCGAACGCGTTTCTTGGATGGTCTGGTCAAGGGCCCCTCGGATCCTATCCTTAAGAACTTGCGCACGCTCCTTGGCCTCCACACGAGAAATGTGCCCCACCGTGGAGGCGAAATCCAACGCATCGTTGAGCAGCAACTTGCGTATCACCAGGGCTTCCGTGACCCCTGCAGGCGCACGAAAAAGGGGAGCCGTGGCCTCGGCGAGCGACGTGGATTCCGAGCCTTGGACTTCGCACGCCGGGGTGCCCGCCAGCAGGCCGACCAGCACCTGGAAGCGCTGCCATAGCCACCGAATGGCAAAAAGAGCAGGGTTCCTAGGATTGCGAACATCTTGATCCATCACCGATCGCCAAACCAATTGGGGGAGCTCACCCCTAAGGCCGTAACGAGGGAGGGCAGTGCCCGAAGCGCGCGCCAACTCGATCTCAGCCGCGTTAGCCCAGGAACGATAACAATCATCAAGAATCTGCTGCGTACGCAAACCATCGCCCGTCCTAGCGACGGCCACCCCGTCCTGGAGAGAAGCAAGCAACGCATCAGCGCAAGGGGGCTCGAGCTGCGGACCCACCATGCGCTCCACAGGGATCCTAGGCGGCTTCCGAAAAGACAAGGATTGCAAACGGCCGATCTGAGGGAATAAAGACAGCCTAACGGGCGAGTGGGGGGTCAGATCGGAAACGGAAATCATAGAAACTTCCCGGATGGCCGAGCTAAGCCCCCGACTGCACACAAAATAATCGTCAAGCTTTAACCCCCCTGTGGTCGTGCAGGTTCCCGTGACGTCCGGGTAGATGATCCGCCCCCCAGCTCGACCATCGAATCCAGACTCTCGCAAAAGATCCGGGTGGAAATTAAAATCGCCACCGATCAACCAAGAAGAACCGCACGCTGAAACCGCCGACCCCAGGTCAGCGAGCAACGTATCGTTGGGCTCGTCGAGCTTCTTACCGTCTTGCATGTGGACCGAAAAAACTGCGACCTCGATGCCCCCAGGGATCTGAACGGCCACGCCCAGAACTCGATGAGACAACTTGGAGACTTCAGGAAGACGATGTAAGCCGAGCCACGTGCGGCAAAATATAGCAACACCACCGGAAGTGCCCCCTCCTTCAGTCGCCACGGCTGGTTCCCACAGACTTTTCCACCCCGCTCGAAGGGCCCAGGCTGACGCTTGGAGGACATCCTCCGTGGAAGTCAAATGGTGCTCTTGCAGAGCAATGACATGGGCCGAGGACCGAGAAATCCACGACTTCCCAAAGGACTTCCAACCCGAAACGTTGCAAGTCTCAAAAGCAAGTGAGACGGACCCGACGTGAGGTGGCGTACGCTGGGCAACAAAAGGCTTTAAACACTCAGGATCCCTGGCTCTAGCAAGAGAGATAATCTGAGCGGCCCTAGCCCTGAGGGCATGAGCAGCGTTCAAAAAAGTGCGCACATTCGGCTTGACATCGCCACAACGCTCGAGGCTAGGAGGAGACTCGCAAACCTTCCGAGCGGAAATGGCGGCAGCCTTTGACAAGACAAAAAAAGGATCGGGAGGCTCCGGCCGAACGAGAGGGAAAGAGGCGGGGGAGGAGGAGAGGGGAGGAGGATGAACGCGGTTCCGCCCAAACGGAACCAACACGCCGGAAAAAAAACGGCGAACAGCCGCCGATGGACCAGTGCAGCGCCTGCCCCTCGTGGAGGGGAGGCGAAACCGGATAGCCGTGGACTGGTGGCCAGGCCGTCGCCGAGATATTAAAGATGCTGCGTGTCACCACCGCTAGCGCCAGCCAAAATGCGACTGGCCGCTTCACGCGCTGATGGCCCACTGGGCTGACTCCCTCCCCCAGGACCCTCCGACCCACCCGCACCCCCTCCCACAGAAGCAGCAGGGGCGGTGGCCGCAGGGGCCTCAGGAGCAGCAGCAGCAGCAGCTGGTGCAGGATGTCCAGTACCAGCTTGAGGCTCAGCAGCAGGAGCTTCTTTCCGACGGCGTTTAGTGGCCAAGCGCTTAAGGAGAGCCTCGTGATCGGTGCGAGCCTTTTCGACCGTGGCCGCCGCCTCGGCGAAGACCTTGGCCGTAGCTTCTTTGAGACCTTCATTGAGTTGTTTGGCCAAAGATGCCGCTTGTTCCTTGTCCGTCGCCGACAACTCGTAGTCGTCGTCGCCAAAGGAAAACATATCGCCCAAAGTGATAAGCTCACCAGCGTTCCCGTCCAAAATCTCTTTGACCGTGAGCTGCGGCCTAGGCGGAGGTTCCGCCTTGGGCCCCGACTTCTCGGCCAGGAGGGCCACCAAGGACTTGTGCTCCTCTTCGCAGCGCGTGTACTCGTCGTGGCCGTGGCCACGAGCTTCCGCTGCTCCTCGAGGGACTTCTCAAGGTTGCTGAACAAGGTGACATTCTTGGAGAGCTTCTGCTCCGCCGAGCGGAGGTTGTGAAAAGCCTGGTTGACCCGACGCTCGAGAGGTACCTCCACGACAGGGGCGCGCTTGGCGTCCAAGATCGACTGGTACTTCTTGGCGCCGGCCGGGTCCCCAGCTTTCGAAAGACCCGCAATGAGAGACTCGAGCTCCTTCTCGTCCATCGTGCAGTCCGGACCTGGAGCCTGCTCTCCTTGCGGCGGCAACTGCAGCAATCCACCTGGCAGACCGGCGTGTGCAGGAGGCGCGCCGAAGTACCCTGGCGGAGGGACGCCCCCAGCTCGAGCACCATCCCGTACGGCAGGCGGGTGGTATTCGCGAGGGGCCTTGCAATACTTGCAAAACGCTGATGTAGCAGCATTTCGACGGCAGGGGCACTTTGTGCATGACCACTTCCTACTTGAACCCGTGCCTGTAGCGGGTGGCGGAGTCCCGAACTGGGCGCCAGGCTGCAGAGGAGGAGGAAGATACCCAGCACCGTTGCCAGGAGGACCAGTGCGCCACAAGGGTCCCCCATTCTGCCCAGCGCGCCAAGGAGGCCGCGCATCAGACCACCATCCTGAGGGCCACTGGTATGCCATCGCTGCTGCCGAATGTAGGTTATCGTGGAAAAGCTTGGGAGGAGATGCCTCCCACCGAGACACTTTGGCCCGCAGACGCGAGCCGCTCTGAAGAGACACGTCTGCAAAACTCAGCCTGAGCGCAGAACGGCTAGAGGCCTCCGTGGAAGAAGAAGAGGAGGAGGAGGAGGAGGAGGAGGAGGAGGAGGATGAGGATGAGGAGTCCTCCTCCTCCACCTCCCGCCTCAGAGTGGAGAGCATGTCGGGGTATCCGAGCGGGTTCTGCTTCACGGACACGCCCGCCATGTCGAGCACCGCCACGAAGCCCGCTGGCCTGTGGGCGCCGCGGCCCAGCGACGCGAGGTGGAGCATCAGCAGCAGAGGTCGCAAAGCAGCGGTGGAAGGGAAGGGGGGCGATGATGAGGGCGAGGGGAAGACGGATGACTACCAGAAGTGGCAGCTGATGAATCGAGAGCCCCCTAAAGCCCGCCAGAACCCTTGAATCCCACGAGCCCTTCAGGGCGATAGTGGCTTAGAGCGATTCCTCTTCCAACCCACTTCTTCCCCTTCGGAGAAGGGTTTATCCCTGTTCCCTATTAATATATACTCCCTCCCCCAGGCGTCCGGCAGCCAACCAGGAACAATGCCGACCCTATGCTGACCTCCCTCAACCATCCCTGTCAAAAATCTACAAACACACACTCTGCCTACAAATTCGGAGCATGCGCAACCAACACGATGCGGCCCCCCCCACCGCCATCCCTGTGAAACAAGCAATCCAGAGTACACTTTCGGGCAAAGTCTTGAGTCATGTTCGTGAGGCCCCCGAGCACTGTGTATTTTTTTGGACGGGGACGGCGGGGGGGTCAGCATATTGCATGCTGTTCGCATGGCCAGCATCCCTGTCAAAAACAATACGAAAAGTGCACCTCGCGGCTAAATCTGGATCATTCGCGGCCACCCCGCGATCACTGTCAAGTGATTTTTGGCAGGGGCGGCGGGAGTGGTGGCGTGTGGCCTGCTGTGCGTAGGCCCACCAGACACAATTGTGGGCATTGGCTTGCTACAAGGATGGTGGGGGCCGGCATGTTTCCCGATGTGTGCTGTCACGTGCGCAGGCGCACCTGGCACACTCTGCACGTGCCCCAAACGTGGCGCACCAGGCCCGGCTGGAGTATCTGGCACACTTGGCGCACGTGGAGCACGTGGCGCATCTGGCGCACCAGGCGTGCCTGGCACGCTCGGGCCCCAGGGGTGCCTGGCGCCCGTGGCGCGCCTGGGTTCTCTGGGTTCTCCGGGGTTCTCCGGGTTCTTCTGGTTCTCCGGGTTCTCTGGGTTCTCCGGGTTCTCCGGGTCCGGGGTTCTCCGGGGTTCTCCGAGGTTCTCCGGGGTTCTCCGGGTTCTCCGGGGTTCTCTGGGGTTCTCTGGGTTCTCTGGGGTACTCCGGGGTTCTCCGGGTTCTCTGGGTTCTCCGGGTTCTCGGGGTTCTCCGGGTTCTCCGGGATTCTCCGGGGTTCTCCAAGTTCTCCGGGGTTCTCCGTGGTTCTCCGGGTTCTCAAGGGTTCTCCGGGTTCTCTGGGTTCTCCCGGGTTCTCCTCCGGGGTTCTCCGGGGTTCTCCGGGGTTTCTCCGGGTTCTCTAATTAGGGTTCTCCGGGGTTCTCCAGGCCAGGGTTCTCCGGGTTCTCCGGGGTTCTCTGGGGTTCTCCGGGGTTCTCTGGGTTCTCTGGGGTTCTCCGGGTGCTCCGGGTTCTCCAGGTGCTCTGGGGTTCTCCGGGTTCTCCGGGGTTCTCCGGGGTTCTCCGGGGTTCTCCGGGTTCTCCGGGGCCGGGGTTCTCCAAGGTTCTCCCGGGTTCTCCGGGTTCTCCGGGTTCTGCGGGATTCTCCGGGGTTCTTTTGGAATCTCCGGGGTTCTCCGGGTTCTCCGGGGTCTCCGGGTTCTCCAAGTTCTCCGGGATTCTCCGGGTTTCCAGATTCTCCGGGGTTCTCCGGGGTTCTCCGGGTTCTCAGGGGTTCTCCGGAGTTCTTTAGGTTCTCTGGGATTCTCCGGGTTCTCCGGGTTCTCCGGGGTTCTCCGGGGTTCTCAGGGAGTCTCTGGGGTTCTCCGGGGTTCTCCGGGTTCTCTGGGGTTCTCCGGGGTTCTCCGGGGTTCTCCGGGGTTCTCTGGGGTTCTCCGGGGTTCTCTGGAGAACCGGGCGCTGTAGTGTCCATGAATACTCTCGCGCGGCATCTCCGAGGTCAGAATTTCGAGGATTTCTCAGGCGAAACAGGCCGGACCACCTCGCGCAAGGCATCTCAGAGCTCAGAATTTCGAGGATGTCTCAAGCGAAATGGCCCGGACCACCTCTCGCGCGGCGTCCCGGAGCGCAACTTTGGAAGATGTCTCAGGCGAAACGGCCAATTCCGGCCAACTCAGAAACGAGAATTGAGGATGTCTCAAGCGAAACGGCCTGGATCATCAAATTTTTGTGAGGATGTCTCTGCTTCGGCTTCCCTCGGCCGGAGTTAGCTTCTATCACAACAGCACCTCGTTCAGCAAGCTGTTTGGGGAAATAACTATTGGGCCTGGAAATGCTATGGAGCCTCCCACTACTCTGGCCCGTTGAGGTGGGCCTCCACCCACTGCCCCTGGGCTAAGATAGCGAAACCTGGTTCCATGTCATTGGGCACCGCAACCAACCGCCACTCCTCCATCATGCCGCAGGCGAGCTTGATGGCAGGGTGCATGTTTGAAAACTCTCGGGCACGAATGCGTTTCGATCGGGGCCTCTTGAATGCGTGCACAACTGCTTGCCGAAATTGCGATAACCACGCCTTCAACACTGGCTCCACAACAACATTTGGTATAGGGGTCCGTGTGTGTGGGACTCGGTAGGCATATCCCCCATTGCCTTTGCGAAACCACCTCCACACGACTTTGTTTGCAAACTGCACTACCGCATCTGTAAACATGTCGAATCGCTGAAGGGCTTTGCCGTAGAACATGTGCTTGCGGCTGTATCTCCCCAATAGCCAAATCGTGATCCGCATCGAGCCGCATCGCCGATGCATCGGCGATGCGAACTGATCCTTCGACACCGTCTACTCGGACCCCATTTGGGAGGCCTGGTTGCGAACCTCCAATTCATCTTGGGGGCGGCAAAGAGGGGGGTGTCCAAGAGGGGGGGTGCAAATCATGACTGGCGGCATGTGCGCGGCCCAGCGGGGGGGCCAGGGACGTAATGAAATAAGAAGAGGCGCCATGATTTCTGGGGAAATCTCATATGGCCCTCGCCATGATATCCACCCCCCCTAGTCATCACCCCCCTCTTTTCCGCCACCGGTCATCGGCATCCTCTGCATGGCCTCGTCCGGCCGTGGGGCGCAGCTCTCGTGAGACGAGCCAGCAGCGTGTGCAGCTCCTGGACCAGGAAGTGGTATAAGCGCACTAGGGCGCGAAGCTCGTGGCGCATCCACTCGCCCAGGCCTGCCGAGCCGCTCGCCGGGGCCAGGCCCTCCACGAAGGCCTCGAGCGGCAAGGGGGCCCACGGCGCCGGCGGGCGCTGCGGCAGGCCAGCTCGCTCGGCTTCCGCCCGCCACGCAGCAGCGGCATCCAGCTTGGGCGCTTCCGGGGCCCAGTGCGGCGGCCAGGCCTGGCACATCTCGGCGGCGGAAAAATTGCAGAGGGCGCTCCAGGGCCCTTGCAGGGCGGCGCACCCCGCGCGCAGGGCCTGCCGCGACCAGGGGGCGAACTTTGGCGCCTCCACCCTGGCCTTCAGGACCTTCTGCTCCTTGCCTGCCAACTCGCCACGGGCCGCCACCAAGAAGGGGCGGACCTGTGAGACCTCGGCGGTCGCGCAGTGCCCCCTCCTGAGCTGCGGAGACACGCGGCGGTCGGCGCAAACCTGCCGCCGGCGGCGGTCCAACCCGGGGGGCAGCAGGTCGGTGCCGCGCCAGTGCTGCTCCCCGACGGCCCGCAAGATGCTTCAATTGTTTGCTGCCTTCTCGCCCGTTTGCGGCCCTCAGAGCGCCCAAGAGCGCCCCAAGAGCGTCGCAGGAGGGTCCCAAGAGGCGATTTTGGGGGCTCAGGACGGGGGGGCCCTGTTAGGGACCCCCCCCCCTCTTCCTTGACCGACGGCATCCAAGATGGCCCCAAGAAGGCCCCCAAGGCTTCCAAGAGGGGCCCAAAAGACCCCCAAGAGGGCTCCTGGAGAGCCCCAAGAGGACTCAAGAGGCCTCCAAAATTGCCTCCAGGAGACCCCACGATGGCCGCAAAATGACCCCAAGGGGCTTCGAAAAAAGACCCAGAGAGAAAGACCCGCAAAGGCTTGATTCCTGTCGTCGTCGTGTCCATCTTCCTCTCCAAAACTTTCCTTTCCTGCTCCACGTCCTCCTCCTCCTCCTTCCTCCCTTCCTTCGTTTCCTCCTCCTCCTCCTCCTCCATTCCCGCTCCTGTTCGTCCTCCGTTTACTCATACGTCCTCCTCCCCTTTCTAATGTAACGGTTGTACCCCTCTCTGTTGCGCTACATGCTGCTACACTTCAGTGATCAACGCAACTTGCCTGGGCATCGTCTCTGCAACTGCCTCCTCCTGCCTGGTCTTGCCTTCTCCTACTTTCTCATGCCTCCTCCTACTCCTCCCACATCCTCCAGCATATTCCTACACCCTCGCTTGCCAGGGCAAACGGCATACCTGGCTCCTCGTGCCTCCTCCTACCTTCAAGTTCCTCCTCCCTCTTCAGACCTCTGCATGCGCTAGCAAGTTCCCCCATACTCCTGCCCACCTTCCTCCTTTTCCTCCTGCTGCCTGTCCTGATGTTCCTCTTCGTCCTCCTCCCTCTTCTCCTACTTCGCTTCCTCCTCCTCCTCCTCCTCAAGAACCCGCGAAGATGGATGCGGCTCACTGCGGCGCCGCATGCTGCTACACATCCCTGATCAGAGTAGCTCTCCTAGTGACTGTGTTCGGATGGGCTGGCGGGGATACGCGGAGCGTCGATAATCCAAGCAAGGAGGGACGGAGAAAAGGCTGGATCCTCTTGTCCACGGCCGACATACGTCGGAACATCCGTGAGGAAACAAGTGTGCGCGCTGTCTTGGGCCCCCACAAGGCCCCCTAGGGCTAGCTTGTGATCCTTTTGGGGCTCTCCTGGGCTCTCCTGGGGCCCTCGTGAGGCTCTCCTGGCGCCCTTTTGGAGGTTCCCGCGGGCCCTGACAGAAGAAGAGGACGGCGGGAAGAACACGAGAAGGATAATGAGGGCAAACAGACAATAATAACAATCATTACACCAAACAAAAAATCCAATCCGTGGATGGTTTGAAACGGGATCGATAAAACAACGACGAAAACATCGACCGGGAACCCGGGAACCCGGACCGACGGGAAACTCTCGCTGAATCTTTCAATGTCCGCTCGGACCCCTAGTAGTAGTAGTAGTAGTAGTAGTAGTAGTAGTAGTAGTAGTAGTAGTAGTAGTAGTAGTAGTAGTAGTAGTAGTAGTAGTAGTCGTAGTCGTAGTCGTAGTCGTAGTCGTAGTAGTAGTAGTAGTAGAGTAGTAGTAGTAGTAGTAGTAGTAGTAGTAGTAGTAGTAGTAGTAGTAGTAGTAGTAGTAGTAGTAGTAGTAGTAGTAGTAGTAGTAGTAGTAGTAGTAGTAGTAGTAGTAGTAGAGTAGTAGTAGTAGTAGTAGTAGTAGTAGTAGTAGTAGTAGTAGTAGTAGTAGTAGTAGTAGTATAGTAGTAGTAATAGTAGTAGTAAGTAGTAGTAGTAGTAGTAGTAGTAGTAGTAGTAGTAGTAGTAGTAGTAGTAGTAGTAGTAGTAGTAGTAGTCAAGTAGTAGTAGTAGTAGAGAGTAGTAGTGTAGTAGTGTAGTAGTAGTAGTAGTAGTGGTAGTAGTAGTAGTAGTAGTAGTAGTAGTAGTAGTAGTAGTAGTAGTAGTAGTAGTAGTAGTAGTAGTAGTAGTAGTAGTAGTAGTAGTAGTAGTAGTAGTAGTAGTAGTAGTAGTAGTCGTAGTAGTCGTAGTAGTCGTAGTAGTATGTAGTAGTAGTAGTAGTAGTAGTAGTAGTAGTAGTAGTAGTAGTAGTAAGCAGCAGCAACAATGGTACTAGGAGTAGTATAGTCGTAGTAGTCGTAATCGTAGTAACAGTAGCACCAGTAGTAGTAGTAGTAGTAGCAGTAGTAGTAGTCGTAGTAGTAGTAGTAGTAGTAGTAGTAGTAGTAGTAGTAGTAGTAGTAGTAGTAGTAGTAGTAGTAGTGGTAGTAGTAGTAGTATGGTAGTAGTAGTAGGAGTAATAATCGTAGTAGTAGTCGTAGTAGTAGTACTATTAATAGAACAAGAAGAAGTAGGAGTAGTAGTAGTAGTAGTAGTAGTAGTAGTAGTAGTAGTAGTAATAAAGGAAATGCTCGTCGTAACACTTAAGACAATAACAATGATAATATCAATAGCACTACCAGCGCTAATAATAAAACAATACCTAGGATAATAAAAACGAAAATGATAGTGATCGAGCGAATAATGATGACATTCTGAAGCAAGTAAAAAGAACATGATTAATATTCGGAATTGTTCATAAAGATGATGCTGTTCAAGAGAACGCGACGACTTAGCAACACATATACATAATACAAGTCATGCTAAGAAGAAGGATTATCCCGATGAGGGGGGACAGGAGAACGCATGAGAGTCGAAGTTTGTATTCCACACAGTCGTCACACAGACGGTCAAACCACATGATCTGTGGACGTGCGCAAATTATATGAAATATGCAATGAAACACGAAGAAACACATCCACGCTTCATTCACTCCTGGCAGCGGCGGCACCGATGAGGAGGATCAGCGGCATGAGCTCGCAAGCATGCCGGGAATGGAAGTGGGAGGGAAGGATGGAATACACCGTGTGTCCAAAAGGCGCATGCGCAAGAAGGGCATGGCACGAAAAGGCTGGTGCTCGGCTGCCCTTCGCCTGCCAGAAGGCGCTGTGACTCATAGTATTACGGCCGGAACCATTGCGTGAGAGAGAGAGAGAGAGAGAGGAAGTGGTAGGAGGGGGCGTAATCAGCCAGAACAGAATTCAGAAGCGGAAGCTGGAGTCGTGTCGAAACCGCTTCTTCTTGCGACCCGTGCTCTCCACACGCGCGCGTGTAAAAACAGCGCCCGGGGCAGGAGGTCGAGGCCCCAGACGGGGGGCCCCGCGGAGGGGAGGGAGGGCGGGCTGCGTGCCTTTGGGTGTAGACTTCGACCCCAACAGCCTGCGTACAGTCAGCCCGTATCATAAGGACGCACGATAAGGATGCAGAAGCCTTGGAAGGCTCTCTCGAAGCTTTTCGAACGGGGCGCGATGGGCCGAGGAAGGAAGGATGCAAAGGTAGCCCTTGGGAAGGTTGCCCGTCCTCACCATGCGGGTCGACTGTGCTTCTTGGAGGTCGCGCTCGGCTTTTCCGAAAAGCTGAGCGGCTCCGGAGGGCGAGTTCGGCTCTCAACAGCGCGCGCGGTTCTCCCAGGGGGATAGGGAGGGCTGCGCAGAAACGCGCGCTCCGCGGGCGCTGCGGCCCGCGGGAGGCAGCAGCGTCCGCCCAGTCCCGCCGCGGGCGCCGCGCGGAAGGTCCCCCTGAGTGACCGCGGTGCGCTCCAAGATACGAGGGGAAACGACAGGAGAGGAAACATTGACTTGGAATCGGCGATGCGTCGCAGATGGATGGGCGATAGGCCCTCGATTGTGGCGGAAGTGCGCGTTCCTAGGCGATTTTTTGGGGACCCAGCCCCGACTGGCGATGACCAGGCGATCGGGAGCTGGTGCTGAAGTCTGGGGCACACGCGCGGCAGCAAAAAAAGCAAAGATGGCTAAGTTCTCTGAGTTAGTTCCCTCGAGATCAAGAAACCTCTGCGTGGATTTTTGGATCCAAGTTGCGAGTCCCACGGTGGGGAGACCAGGAGGGCACGGGCACAAAGAAACGATGTCTCACAAACCCCGCAGGTCCAGCCCCCAATCAGGCCCTCCTGATCCCAACGCGTTTTGGTTGCACAGGGTGTCTCGGGAGCTCTCCATAGGTCCCCGGGAGCCTCTGGGGGTACTCGGAAACCTTCACATGCCTCCGAAGGCGCCCCAAAAAATTACTCCCCCCACGAGAGTGTAACCAGCCTGGAAGGAATCCTCAACGCCGTCCTTGTGATTGCGGAGGCTCGTTTCCTCTCCTCCTCACCTTTTCCTTTTCGCCCCAGAGGAGGCCCTCCCCCCGCCCCTTGCTTTGCCTCCCCCCTCCTGATCCTCCTCCTCCTCCTCCTCCTGACCGTCCTCCTCCTCCTCCTCCTCCTTACACTCCTCCCGCCTCTTCTTACGATTCACTCACAGACGAGGCTCCCGCTCGAGACTTCCTCACTATTCAAGCCTGAGGGGCCCAACAGTGACGAGGGTCACAAGTTTTCCGATGGCCCGCTGGGATAAAAAAGATGAGGGGGAAGATGGGAGGGGGGTCCCTCTCGAGACTTCCTCGCTATCCACTCACAGACAAGTCTCACGCTCGTGACTTCTCCCCTGCTGATGCCTCAGGGGCCCAGAAGCGACATTCACAAGTTCTCCGATGACCCGCTCTGATGAAACAAATACAGGGAAGGAGCTCCTGCTCGAGACTTCCTCGCGATTCACTCACAGACGAGGATCCCAGTCGAGACTGCGCCCATATTCAAGCTAGAGGGGCTCAAACGTGATGACAGTCACAAGTTTTCCGATGACCCACTTGCATGAGAAATGCTTGGCTGGAGGACCATGCATAGGGGGGGGCTTCCCGTTCGAGATTTCCTCGCAATCCACTCACAGGCGAGTCTCCCGCTCGAGACCTCCTCCATATTCAAGCCTCAAGAGCCCAACATAAGATACACTTACAGGTTTTGAGGTGACCCCCTCGGATGAAACAACAAACATAATGACGGGGGGCCAATAGTGAGGGAGCTCCCGCTCGAGACTTCCTCGCGATTCGCTCACAGACAAGGCTCCCGCTCGAAACTTCCTTGAGGTGACTTCGTGCGTGTGCATGTGCACACGTAGATGTGTGTGGGTATGTGGGTGTGTGGAATCGTGCGTGAGTGAGTGCACGAGTGTGTG